AATTGTGTTACTCCCCTCCGAATCAACAGACTGCAACATATTCTTCACCCGGGCCAGTCCTTGACCATTCCAAGTCGCTCAACAGCTCAATCTCGTGGATGATGTTCTCCGGCGGCTGCTTTCCCTTCACGACATCGAGCATCGTTTTATTCGAGACGACGTAAACCCTTTGATCAGGCATATTGGCACTTTCCAGGTTGTCTTTCACGCTCTGGCGCGTCTGTTGAATGAACTGCTCCTGTGCAGCCCGGTAAAGCGTCTTCTTCCGGTCCTCACTCTCATCATCGCCGCTGTAGTAGCCCATATCGTTCATGATGTTACAGATATGCTGATCTGCCTTGGAGCGCACGATATACGTGGGGATCTTGAAATGCTTGCAGTTCGCGAGGATGGCGATGTCGGTCATGGTGAAGTGATTGTCGAACAACACGATGATACCATCAAAGACATAAAGTTCTTTGGCATGGAAATACTGCCAGTCTGGGATTTTGAGTGTGCCTGCGCCCGGGATGTCGTACCAGGCATATATTTGTTCCATGTTGGAGCTGGCGTATCTGGCCGTGACCAGCATTGTCTCTGTGACACCAGTAGCAGCAGATCCGGTGTCCTTATTACGCAAACCACGGAAGGCATTGATGAGAGATGATTTCCCTCCTCCTGCCACCCCGGTTACTGCGATGTGGAAAAGGTCCTCGTCATATTGCACTCTCTGCCTAGCGGCGCTGACTTCTTCAGGTGTGGGAGTCACCACAGGTTGAATGCCTTCTTTCAACTTCCGTTCAGCCTCCTCCTTGGCAGCATTAGCCATCTTTACTCGCTCTTCTGCCACTTTCTTTAATGCGTCGGTCGCCTCCTGGTCAGCAGTTGCATCCCTCTCTTGTAATTTCTCGACATGCTCCTGAGCAGACTGAATGTCCATGCTCGCTCGTTTTTGAATAGCAGCCCATTCCGCCTGGACCAGCGCTATCATTTCCTTGTGAAATTGTACCTGCACGGCTTCCTTAGCAGCCCGCTCAGCCTGCAACGTCGTTACCATCTCCTTGTATACCTGCGCCTGTGCGGCGAGCTGAGCCTCGGCAGCCTTTTGCTGTGATTTTTGATTTGCCTGGATGATCTTTATTAACGCAGCCTGCGCAAGTTCTACATCCTTGCGAGCCTGTTCAGCCACGGCTTCTGCGTGTGGACGTGCTTCTCTTTCGATGAGGGATGGAGTCGCTCCCATTCTTGATTGATAGAGAATCCTGTTGATCGTTATGTCGTACGATGGCTTCTATCTTTCGAGCTGAGAAAGCTTACTGTTTAAATGTATGCTATGCTTCAAAAATTGAATCTAATGGTGTTGATTCAGAATGGGTGCTGTGGATTCACGCCAGGTCACAGCGAAGAGGGGCATTTCCAACCAACCCCTATCCCAGAATGGATGCTCGACGCCATCACTATCTGCACGAGGTCATAACGTTCACAGATTTATCTCACGATGTCGGAGGCACTGGATCGCGTTGCATCAGAATGCGATACCTTTCGTCGGTTCATACTAGAAATCTCAATTGCAAATCCTTTGTAATTCTAAGTATTCAGTCGGATGGAAGTCAGTCATTCGCAATCAGTAAGAACATGTACATGTGGAGAAGTAACAACATCAGCACAGACGAAAAACACATAGGAAGAACCGAATATGCAAGTCTGGAATCAAGATCGGTCACGAACGGTATGATCATGCAGTACTGTGCCATATTGTGGTGATCTGTCTCTCACAGACTGTGCTCAGATTGCGAACTGGGTCTACCATCACATCCCTGGTGCATCCAAACACATTGTCAATTGGCTAAACTGTGCTACCTATGCGCATGTGTGCACTATTGTAGTTGCAAAACGGAAGAGAAATCAACTCCAGGAGATATTTTGACTGAACGTCGCTCAGCAGCAGTTGACATGGACTCCGAGTCACTTTCCTACTCCTGAAGAGGAAGCAAATGCGATACTCCAGGCGGCCTGGCTTGACCCCTAACCCAGCTATGATCTGTCTGCGATGGATGTCGACGTTGATTTAGAGTGCCTTGGTATACTCGAACAGCGAATGTTCGAACTCTCGTTGGCCGCAGGTGCTGCAGGGAATGAACAATGGGGAAAAGATGCTGGCACGCACCAAGATCGATGGAACCCATATGAGGGTCTCCCCGAGCACTGGAATCATGGTGACCGAGATCTGTATGCACCAGAATTTGAACGGGGAATGGATGTGCGTCATTTTCATATTCACGGTGGCGGGAAGTGAGCCCGAAGTCGTTAAGAAAGAAAAAGCCCAAACCACGGCCACGGCCAAGGAAGGTACATGGAAGTACTTGACGTGCGCGAGGATGAGCGTGCTGTTGTGCTCGCCTGTGACTGGGTGCGTGATATCTATCAATTTATATATGAGGCGACGATGTCAGCGAACGAGCGGGCTCGGCCTGAAATGAAATTACCTCGCGCGAGGCTCTTATTTTGCACCTGAACGCAAGTCCATATATCTTATGATGAAGGTGCACACGTACGCATTTCTCCTTTGTCAGACCGCTGAAAGCCCACTCGTTGAACTCAGGAGGAGTGTCTATGGCAGTCGCATTTGCATTCTCGACGAATGCCTCGCTGATGATGTTCATGGCGAATCCTTGGTTGCTCTTCAAGTTGGTAGCCGTGTCTTTCAGGCGGCCCACAGCGTTGTGGTTGACTGGCGGGTAGTAGGGTTGATTCCATCTGGAGGTGAAGACAAATTGCCAGGCAAGACCGCAGAGGTGCATGAATTGCTGAGAACAATGCACACTATGGATACTTGGTAAGAAGGTGCGATAGTGCACAGCCACCAAATCTCAGAATTACCACCCTGCCGCACTCTACCGCGTCACTACCGCACCCATGAAGTACTACCTCCCCTCAACAGACTGCCGCACCATGTTCTTCACCAGACCAAGTCGTTCAACAGCTCAATCTCGTGGATTATGTTCTTCGGCTGGTTTTCTTTCACGACATCGAGTATCGTCTTATTCGAAACGATGTAAACCCTTTGGTCGGGCATATTAGCACTTTCCAGGTTGTCTTTCACGATCTGGCGCGTCTGCTGAATGAACTGCTGCTGTGCATCCTGGTAAAGCGTCTTCTTCTGGTCCTCACTCTCATCATCATCACTGTCGTATCCCATATCGTTCATGGTGTTACGGATGTGCTGATCTGCCTTGGAACGCACGATATACGTGGGGATCTTGAAATGCCTGCAGTTGGTGAGGATGGTGATGTCGGTCATGGTGAAGTGATTGTCGAACAGGACGATGATGCTGTCAAAGACATAAAGTCCTTGGGCATTGAAATACTGCCAGTCTGGTACTTTGAGTGTGCCTGCGCCCGGGACGTCGTACCAAACATATGGGTGTTCCGCGTTGGGGCTGGGATATCTGGCCGTGACCAGCATTGTCTCGGTGACACCAGTAGCAGCAGATTCGGTGTCCTTATTGTGCAAACCACGGAGGGCATTGATGAGAGATGATTTCCCCGCTCCTGCCACCCCGGCTACTGCGATTTGGAAAAGGTCCCCGTGATATTGCACTCTCCGCCTAGCGACGCTGACTTCTTCAAGTGTGGGAGTCACCACAGGTTGAATACCTTCTTTCAACTTGCGTTCAGCCTTCTCCTTGGCAGCATTAGCCACCTTTACTCGCTCTTCTGCCACTTTGTTTAATGCATTGATCGTCTCCGCAGTCACATCCATCTCTTGCAATTTCTCGACCTGCTCCTGAATAGACTGAATGTCCATGTTTGCTCGTTTTTGAATAGCAGCACATTCCACCTGGAACACCGCTATCATTTCCTTGTGAGATTGTACCTGTATGACTTCTCTAGTAGCCCATTCAGCCTGCGACGTCGCCAGCATTTGCGTATATGTCTGTGCCTGTGCGGTGAGCTGATCCTCCGCAGCCTTTTGCTGTGATTCTTGATTTGCCTGTGTGATCTTTATTAACGCAGCCTGGGCAACTTCTACATCCCTGCGAGCCTGCTCAGCCACGCCTTCTGCACGCTGACGTGCTTCGAGGAGGGATACATTGACTCCCATTCTTGATCAGTGGTTAAGTGGACCTGTTATTCGTCATGTCGTATGATAGCTTCTATCTATTGAGCTGAGGAAGCTTACTGAAATGTATACGCTGTGCTTCGAAAATTGGTGTTGATTCAGAATGAGTGCTGTAGATTCACAAGAGGGGCATTTACAACCAACCCCTATCCCAGAATTGACGCACCCTTGATCTGCACGAGATCATACATTCATCTCACGATGCATCGGAGGCACAGGATTGCGTTGCATCAGAGTGCGATACCTTTCGTCCGGTAGATCTTAGGTTCATACTAGAAATCTCAGTTGCAAATCATTTGTAATTCCAAGTATTCAGTCGGATAGAATTCAGTCACTCGCAAGCAGTAACACATGTGGAGAAGTAACAACATCAGCACAGAGGAAGAAGCATATGAAGAAGTTGAGAAGAACCGAATCTGCAAGTCTGGAGGTCATGGAGGGTATGATAACGGAGCAAGAGTCCAAAAGAAGAAATGTAAGAACTGTATCATCATAGTCGCCCCTCAGGCCTCAGGCCTCAGGCCTCAGTACTCAGTCACGTTGTCCTCGCCTGATCTGGGCTTCTCGGATCATGTCACTCAACAACTCAATCTCATCGATGGTCTTCGGCTGCTTTCTTGCCAGAAAATCGAATATCATTGTATTCGACGCGACATCGAGCATCGTTTTATTCGAAACGATGTAAACCCGTTGGTCAGGTATATTGGCATCTTGCAGGTTGTCTTTCACGCTCTGGCGCGTCTGCTGAATGAACTGCTGCCGTGCAGTCTGGTAAAGCTTCTTGACCTTGCTGCTATCATCATCGTCGCTGTCATACCCCATATCTTCCATAATGTTGCGGATGTGTTGATCTGCTTTAGAGCGCACGATATACGTGGGGATTTTGAAACGTCTGCAGTTGGTGAGGATGGCGATGTCGGTCATGGTGAAGCGATTGTCGAACAGGACGATGATGCTGTCAAAGACATAAAGTCCTTGGTCGTTGAAGTACTGCCAGTCCGGGATTTTGAGCGTGCCAGCGCCCGGGAAATCGTACAAGACAAGAGGGTATTCTGCATTTGGGTGAGGGTATCTAGCCATAACTAGCGTTGTCTCGGTGACGCCAGTGGCAGCGGCTCCGATGCCCTTATTACGCAAACCGCGGAAGGCATTGATGAGAGATGATTTCCCTCCTCCTGCCACCCCGGCTATTGCGATGTGGAACAGGTCCTCGCGATATTGTACTCTCCGCTTGGCGGCGCTAACTTCTTCAGGTGAGGGAGTCACCACAGGTTGAATGCCTTCTTTCAACTTGCGTTCAGCCTCCTCCTTGACAGCATTGGCTACCTTTACTTGCTCTTCTGCCGCTTTCTTCGACACGTTGGCTGCCTCCTGGGCGACAGATGCCTTTCTCTTCTCCTCATTGGCAGCCTCCTTTAGTTTCTTGGCCTGCTCCTGGGCAGCCTGGGCGTCTCGTCTGGCTTGCTCTTGTACAGCAGCAGTTCGCTTACGCTCCTCCTCTGCTTGCGCTGCTTGCTTCTTTGCTTCCTCGCTGGCGGTACGAGCAGCAGCTTCTGCCTGTAAGCGGGCTTCGTTGGCAGCGTGTTCGGCTTCAGCCATCGCCTCCCTTTCCTTACGGGCCTGAGCCTCTGAGGCTGCCGCGGCTTCCTTAGCGGCTTGCTCAGCCGCCCTAGCCTCTTCCTGTATTTTTTGATTCAACCTGTTGAGCTCAGTGATCTGTTCTTCGGCAGCCTTAACATCCTGTCGGGCTTGCTCTGCCTCAGCCTCAGCCTTCTGGCGCTTTTCTATCTCCTCGAAGGATGGATTGGGCTCGTCTGGGTCCGTAAAACACATCTCAGTTTGCTCAACAATGGTAATGCTTGGCCCTGTTAATGGTCACGTCGCATGATGCTCTCATCTCTCGAGCTGAGAAAACTTACTGGTGTGCGTATGCTTTGGAAAGAAAAATCGGCTGACAGCGCTGTTCAGAGTAAGTCCTGTAGGAACGAAGAGCCGATCCTAGACTATAGAATATAATGTCTGCCTTGAGGCGTTTCATATTGTGCCGCATACAGACCAAGAGAACGACTAAATGCGGCCAAGCGCTGATCATAAGTTACCCAGGGCTATGGGTTGTTCCCCATCCGGAGGATTGCATGAAGCGTGACCTGGAGGCAATGAAGTGTGGAAAAAGTTCTGTGCATGAAAGTTGGGAATGAGTTACCAGATCTGATCAGATTGAACGACGAATGTATGCGTACCTCACAATTGAGAGACAGCATGATATGTGGCAATTTTTAACGTAAGACATTTTAATGAGTGACCAGGTGAGGCATCACCTAACGGGTGCACCGTGAACTTGGAGAGCCAGTGTTCGAGTAGATATCGATGAGGTTTGCGACTGTCACAGAGGTATAGCGTATTCTGGGAGTAGGGCCACGCTCCTACCCAGCGGACGGTGGGGGTCCCGTCCTAGTACAGCTAGATAGTTTAGTACATATCAATAGAGCAATTTTCTCTCACCTGCCATAATTCAAACACCGAACAGTGCTTGGAAGAAGTTCGGTGTTTGAGGTGAGAGAAAATTGCTCTATTGATATGTACTAAACTATCTAGCTGTACTAGGACGGGACCCACCCTCGAAACGTCCGCTGGGTACACCACCAGTTGCCGGTTTATCAATGACCAATATTGTGCGAAAATTATTTTGAGGACCCGGTTTGTTCCCAGAACTCTGGCTATAATTGGGGTTTTGTGGATAAATAATGAATTTGTGCCATAAAGGTTGCAAATTTGTTGTTCAGTGGGGAAATGATTCTGATGTCTGATAAAAATCAGTCATATATTGCACGTACACAACACAGAGTTCATCCAAATATCACACGCGCTACATATGGAGTAGCTTGGGGTGAGTTATGCGTGACAGGTTTAGAAATGAGATAGCTTGTAGATATCCCATCAATATGCCCACTATCTTTGCCTCTGACTGCCACATCCAGAGACCACACGTCATAGCTTCGAAAAATGGATCTGTCGAGTGGTTTTCGACACAGGCGTCATCCAAACTGTTCGAGTCAAAACCTTTAACATTGGCGTCCATACTTGAAATACAACAAAGAGTTTGATATGTACAGTAATACTGACGGGTATCATTGGCCTATACATACTAACATGTGATGACAGACACCATGGCAGGCTTAAAAAATCGGACAACAAAAACAGATATCAAGCCAAGGAAATGAGGGGAAAGGGATAGAAGAGCGCTGCGTGTCTACAAAATTCATTCCAGATATCACTCACTGCATCGTCCTGGGCCAGAACCTCCTCATCAGCGCCATAGTCGTTTGAACGCTGTAGCCACTCTTCGATGAACGATCCCTCCAGTGGAATATGAGGATCCCACATCGGCCACTTGCCCATCGGGAAAGACGGATAGGCAGCAACGAAAGCCAGCCAGAAAGCGTCACGTCCCCATGTCCATAGCGATGATTCTGTGTCTACTTCTGTGGTGACCCATTCTTGAATTCGCTGGGCGACTGTTTCCCAATCTGCTCGATTGACATAGTCGAATGAAGGCGGGAGCGGGAGGAATGATATAGTGGGTTCGCCAACGTTAGACATATCTGAGGACAAATTCGACTTTGGCATGATGTAAGTAGGCCAACAGTTGAACAAATGTCATGTACACTTACATCATCCGAGCCTCCTGAACAGTGTAGCAAGCCACTGCGATGGCGCAAGTCTAGCGATGCAACCTCTATGACTGGTGTGGTAAATGTTCCGTATTCCTCATCAATAGATACTGATATGCGGACAGGCTAGCGTCGACTTGTGAGGAAGCCTCGAGGAAAGTTGATGAAGATACATACAATATCGCTCCTTTCCAAAATCTGTCTCGGAAATGTCCCGGGAAAGCAGACAGTGAGGCACATTGGTTGGAGCGAGGCATGGCTGTCTGTATAATGAATGCCAGGGTAGATAGTGGAAACTTTGGTGAGTGATAATGTGGAATTCATACCGACGTCGATGAAGCAACGACGATCAGCTTGAATCATAATAGCGAAGGCGTGAGAGATTGGACTTGTCGAAATTTTGAATGTGCACTATCACGTGATTGCTCACATCCATCACCAGCGTGCTGCACAACACTGTCCTCGACAAATTGCCCAGCATGCTTGATGACATCATCGACGGCTATAGTATGTGTATTTCTTTTATCAACTCCTTGCTTATCTATTTAAATGCTATGTGGTATCTACAGTTTTACGATTCTGCGATGACGGTACAGATCGTGTCTTTTGCACCGCATGCCCTCAAAAACAAGGCGCCTATCGTGTCATGTCACGCCGCCATGCTGAAAAGCACTCAAAGCAAGATATGCACATTCGCCGTGCCGAAAACATCAAGAAAAGGCTTTCTGAGACCAGAAAGCCACGTGTCTCTGCTGCAGCGCCTGTTAGCCCTGATCCTTCACTCTCCCCTGCTGGTCACGATAACTTCAGCATCGATTTCGATTGCATGGATAATACATCTATCGACATGCAAGCTGATAGACCGTCCATGGTGCCTGAGACAGATTCTGAGTATCCGTTAGCGGATCTCTGGAATCAGATCGTCAGCAGTCGACAACTCCAGCTTGATGGCGAATTCCCGGACCTGTTTGCTGAACTTCAGGCGTCTGTTGCCTCGGGACACATTGCCATCTCAACGCCCATAGTTCCCACAAACAAAATGTGTGAACTTGTCGACGACAGTGCATCTGACTTCGGTATTGAAATTCCTGGTAAGTTAACCATCTTTCCTGCGCTCTACAATCCGATACTCAGCAGTATTTTTAGACGACCCGCTTCTTGAACCGGCAATCAAAAACTTAGTTGTCTCTCCAGATCATCCCTTGTATCCTTGGCCATCGAAAGCGGTAAGCTTTCTTCATTGCACGCACTTATTTAATACATCTAACAGTATCAAGCATTTCATCACATCTCTTTTGTTTAGCTCCCCACGCCTTCCATTCTCTGAAGTTCAAAAGAAGGCGGTCTTGAGCTGGGCCAAGGAACTCGGTGTCCGAAATCTTCCTTCGCTTGGCGCGATGAAGAAATGCCAAAGTCACCTGCAGTATCTCGTTGGCGATCCGACTGAAAAGGTCACGTCTCACTCCGGCAACACATTCTACATCAATAATATTGCGAAAGCAATTGCGAAGGTTCGTGGGTTGGATCTTTGCGCTGATGCAATGTTGATATAATTCATAGGACTATGCTAATCCTCTCACCCGCCTCGCGATGCAGGACTATCCGGAGGATGGCGGAAAGGGCATGTCGCAAGTATTCAATGGGAGGAAAATGTTGCTCGATCTCCCGTCGCCACCAGCGGTTCAGGTGAACAGGACCGTGTACTTCACGGATGAATTGTTGCAGGAGTCTTCGGGAGGTTATTTCATTCCAAACCGATTCTTTCTAGCTGCTGGTGACACCCCCACTGATACCACCGAATCCTGCGATAAAGTGCTATATGCATTGGGTCGAGCTGCTCAACGGACAGAGGTACGCAGTCATCTATGTAACGTGTGCTTGTCCTCAAATGTTTGTCAGGCTGGGTTCATTGTAAGTGACGAGGAGGAGATCATCCCTACATCTATGTTTACACGCTCGTTTGGAGACATTGCTGCAACCTGTGGCGAGCTTGATTGTGGGCTGACGGGTACGTTCGGTCATGCTTTTACTAGTGACTATGGAACTAAAATGTGGTGCAGCATCTTCCATCAAGTACGCATCACTTTCACCCAATCCGCTGCGAGAAAAGTCGAAAGGTCGAATGGTGTATTCCGTTCCCTTAATCATTTTTATGGATGACGTTTCAGGCAATATCTCGAAGCAGTGGAACAAGCATCACGCTATATACATGTCCAACACAAATTTGCCTCGCGAGATGCTCGAAAAGGAATTCTTTGTGCGATTTGTTTCGTCCTCTCCTCATGCTCCGCCCATGGAATTGATGCGGGCCATGAGAGAATCCATCTCGTACGTCGTTCTACTTGACATTTGTATTCTAGTATTGCTAAATGCATGTAGTGATGCAGCACAATCTGGCGTCATCGTGTGGGATTGCAAGTACAACGAGGAGGTTATGCTCATTCCATATGTGCTATTTCTCGCTGGAGATAATCCGATGCAGGCTGAAGAATGTAGCCACGCGGGCCTCAATTGCAACTATTTCTGCAGGACATGCAAGGTTGGTGGAACAAAAGAGTACAAGGAATCTGAAGCTGGCTACAACACCATTTTTACGGTATGAACATCTTTCCCGTATCTTCCATGTGACTTACTAGTGCTTGCAGTCAGGCAATCTACGAACCCCTGAGAAGACACTTCAAGAGATTCAACAACAGTTCGAAACTGCCTTCAAATCAGGCGCCATGACCAAAATCCAGAACTCCGTTTCATTGACTGGTGTGCGAGATTCGAGTTCAGCCTTGATTCTCAGTGCGTTGGTCGAACTTGGAAAGAAGCTTCGAAAACGTACTGCGGGATCACAAGCTCTGCCCGAAAATGAAGTCGAAGTCGCCCTTCGAAAAGAATTCGAAGAACTCTTGAAAGGCGGACAACTCGATGACATTATCAATCCCCTACTGGGAACGGATGGTAAGTTTTTTTTTGGTTACCATACGTCTCTTGCTTAGCTTGAAATTCCTACAGGGTTGGATATTCATATGGATACTCCTACTGAAATCCTTCATACAATACTTCTGGGCGTCGTCAAGTATTTTTGGGGGCAGACAGTGTTTCTTCTCGAGAAAGCGAAGTTCCTCCACATCTTCCAGTGTCGGCTCGAGTCCATTGACAAAGACGGCCTCAACGCTCCCTGCCTGAACGCAGACTATATCTGCCACTATAAAGGTAGTTTAATTGGCAAGCATTTCAAAAGTTTGGTGCAAGTTATGCCATTCATCATTCACGACCTTGTTCCTCTGCCGATCCTCAATGCCTGGACAGTGATTGGTGAACTCGTCGTGCTTGTCTGGCATACAAAAATTACAGATACGGAAGCATATCTTGTGAGTTCGATGCACGTTCTATTCGATAGGCTTGTCTGATACCCTTGCGAGATAGGCAATACTGTCTCGAACCATCGAAGATTTCTTGAATGTCACGACACAATGTGCACCGAGCATCCTGATAAGCAAACCAAAGTTTCATTTCCTCGTCCATCTTCCTGCGTACATTCGGCGTTTCGGCCCTGCGATTGTTTTTTCAACTGAGCGATACGAGTCATTCAATCATGTATTCCGTTTATCGTGCATCCATAGCAACCGACAGGCGCCAAGTAGAGATACTTGCAGGATCTTTTCACACCAGGACACGGTCAAACATATCGCTACTGGCGGATACTGGTATGATCCCACAGTCAAGAAATGGGTCTGTGCGGGAGTACAGGTTCTATGTTACCTTGACGAACATCCTGAACAAGCAAAGCTTCTTGGCATACCGAATTCGAGTCATAATCCTCCAATACCTGGTCAGTCTAATAACATGCGCTATTACTATACTAATGATGTACAGGTTCAGGAAAAATTGAAACCACTACTCCCACTGCGACACAAAAGTCAGTGCGAAAAGACGTGGTCCCGTGGAGCACTACTTGTTGTGCGAAGATTCTTGGGACTGCTCGGCCCGGAATCGAGCTTTATCAGGCCAAGTCAGTTGTAACAAGCGAGGGAGAACATGCGAGCTTGAATAGTCATGTTATTTTCCGACAGCCGGTGGACAGGAAGGTGAGCCAGTCTTCTTTTCTTTTCATCACAACGGCTGCTCATTGACATGGCTGTGATGCTGCTTCCAGTTGTATATTGGACGTATTCGCGAGATTCTCGTATCATCCCAGGACAGTCAAACCGCAGATCATGTTGCGCTCCAGCTCTTCACATTTGCAGCTGCTCTGCACCCATCTCTCCACCTGCCGTGCATTGATCTTACCAACAACGAGACAGTTTCAACTGGTATAGTATGTTGTGTATTTTATATGCGAGTCAAACATTCACTGTGATCACCTTACAGGACATCATTTGTGCTGTCAATATTCAACATAATTGCCTTGATTCACAGTGCACGGACATCCAACAACAACCTGTACATCAAGAACGGATAGAGACCTCTCGAACGAAGGCCACAGTCAAACACAAGTCCACGCCAAACTTTTTTCTCAATGTCTATTCCGTGCATAACTATGCTCACATCCAACATGTTGTTCCCGATACGCTTCAAGAGACACCACTTCGGGTTACCAATGCAGCTGAAGTCCGCGCTATGGCCATACGCCAACTACGAGACAAGAGAGCAGCGAAGAAAGGTGGAGATACGTCTCAACTGGCAGGTAGTGGCGAGGGTATGGACGCTCAGCCATCTTTAGCGCCACCTTCTGCCTTTGATCATGCTCCGGCTAAACCACGGAAGTCTGCACCTAAAGCCAAAGCAAAACCAGCCAAAGCAAGCGCAAGTGGCTTGAGTGTGCAGGGAAAAAGGAAGACGGCACCTACTCAGCAAAATTCGGAAGCATTGATGCAACATCAAATCGTCTTTACACCACCAATGGGACCTCCGCAACATGTTTACTCACAGGCACTCCAGCCACCCCATCCTCCACATCATTCTTTCCCTCCACCTCTGCCAATTCCTTCTCTTCCGCCCTTACATTCGTCGCCTCCACTCCACCAATCGCCACCCCCGTTGTATTGCCCTCCCCCACAGTCATATTTCCCCTCTCAATTCCATGCTCCGCCATCTCTACCTGCTCATCATATTCACCCAACTCATCGGCAAACACAAAACGTGCAGGGCACCCCAATGGATCCACTTTCTGCAGTGCAGGCCTCTAATCGCTATATGACCTTGACGCCTCGCTTTCCTTCTGACCATCCACAGCCCCGGCATACTGGCTCTATCTCTGGACCCTCCAGCTCTTCTCGTGCCCCACCATTACACCAATTTCAACCCTTCATGTCTCCAGCACACCACCCGCCACATAATGTTGAAGGCCGCTTCCCACAGCCTCACTCAGGCTATCCTCCCCAAGAATCTCAGGCTCGATATCTGCAGAGTCAGCACTACTACCCTCAGTTTGGTGCACCATATCCTGGCGGAATGTGAACTCTGAAGGTACGCACAGAATTCATTGCCGATCAGGGAGTCGCTAATCCATCAGTGCGCGACTTCTACTTACAGGCACACAAAGACCCTCAAACCATTCAGGTTAGGTGCCTGGCGGTCTAAGTTAGATGTCTGGCGGTCGTTCCATCAAGTTAGGTGTCTGGCGGTCTAAGTTTGGTGTCTGGCGGTCGTCGTTCCATCAGGTTAGGTGCCTGGCGGTCAAAGTTAGGTGTCTGGCGGTGGTTCCATCAAGTTAGGTGTCTGGCGGTTGTTCCTGTCTGCGTCTTTGCATTCAAGTGTGTGATTGGTTGGCGCTCAGATAATATATTTAGTGATTATCTCTTCCTTCCCATCATCTCCCTCCCAGCACCTTTCTCCACCCACACTTTAATATATTCTTTTTGATACTCTATTGCTGCTGCTTTTATGGGCTCGAGAACGTCTTGTGAAGAAAATATGATGTAACGACCAAATTGACGCAAGCGAAGAGGAAGCGAGGTTTCAATTCGATCAGCCACCGAACCTCTTTACCTCTTTGTCGGTCAACCTCGAGCAGAACAGTGAACTGCTCCTGTGCAGTGCGTCCACATCCCAACATCATGATGCTCCAGCGCTATCCTGTGCGGTCCAACTCAAATTCGAGAAGCACAGGTGCCTCACGTTCAGCAAATGGCATGTTAGCACCACCCACCGCTGTGCCTCGAGGCAGGAGCTGTTCGATTTCTAGTACCCAGAATAACTCTCGACCTCCTTCAGTGTCCAGATCTGCAGGACACATCAGTCGTGCACACTCACCGCTTTCCCATGCCATAACTATCAATCATGCTTCTCCAGGTCAAACTGGTGTTCCCTCTCACCGGTGTGCTTCACCAAATGACTCACTGGACGAGCCTATTAGTGCTGGCGTGCGTCGCCAGAGATCTTCTAGCACTGACTGTAACTGACCCATCAATGTTTACACCTGGACTCACAAAGCGACTCAAATTGTACGCAATGAAAGTTGCTGAAGAGAGAGGCGTCGATAAGGATCATCTCGTTGACTTCGTTGATGCAAGTTTTCTCTCAATTCTATCATGAGTCATCCCTGATGCGTCTTTAGACTGGAGGAATTGCCTATATGCTCATCGATCTTAAGGCCACCATGATGTTATTTAGTGCGGCGAACCGGAAGTCTCTCCTTGCAGAAATCAAAGAATTAATAGAATCCAAAGATTTCAAGGTACTTGTGTCTGACCGTATCAATCTATTGCCGACCTCAAACTAATCAAGCATAACACAGTCGGGTCTTCAGAACCGCCTCACGGCTTGTGTGTTATCACCTAATCTCACTGCATACGTCAACGACACACTTGAACATGTCATGGTGCTTTCAATATCCTTCTGTACAAAAGTAGCAACTGATCAGAATGACAGGAATTTATCAAGAAAAACAGCGAGATATTCAAGGTCCCGCTGTTCCTCTTTGAAGACATTGAGCTCACCGCGCAATTATCGACACTTGTCAGTGAAGCACTTTCGTGCATTCGCGGCAATGTAAAGGCTAAGGTGAGTGTTGCAAAAAATACTTCACAGAACAATGCCAAGCTGAGACTGATTCAGCTGATGTCGTCAATCATAAAACGCTCGAGTATCATAGATACCGCAAGATCACTGGCTCATGGTTGCCTAGAGGTTGATGCATCGCATTGGAATAGATACGCGTTTTTGGTACGGTGTTGTTCACTCCTGGCTGCCCGTTTTAACAATGAGACTCTATTGGCAGCGGCGCTGCCTGCGCATTTTTCTTATCGGCACTGGTAACTACAAGACCATTCCTCTACAGGATATTTATTCTCCATCCCTCCTTCCGTCCCTCCACCGAGACCTTCGTGTCAAAGTTGGTGATGCACTTGGTGTCGATGTTGGATTGGATGACTTCGACTCCGACCCCATAGTTGAAGGTGGTGGCCAAGTTGATGAGAATGGCGCAGACTGGCATGGGAGGCGTTGAAGGTAGCATGAATGGTGCAAATGCTGAAGATGGCGGAACTGATCTTAATATCAACCACGATGGCCCGGGAGATGGTGACGAGGATGAGCCTGAGAGAGATTTGTCTGGTGTGGCAGAGAAGGAGAAGTACGAACTTGACCCCAATGACTCGGGATTCGGGGGCAACTGGAAAGCGCACCATTTTCACATCAAGCAAGTTTTGGAGGTTCGTGGATGCCTCGCTTGAGGGTGTTCGCAAAATGGGAAAGG